ATTTATGCGTTTTGTGTCGCTCCGCGTGTGAGTGTTTATAACACGCACAGCACTAACTGTAAACTCACTGCGCCAGCATAGACACATAGTAGCAGCACACATATAAATGTAAAATATATATGTGTGTTGGTGTGTGCGTGTGTGTGTGTGTGAGTGTGTGTGTATGTACACACATGTATAGTTATTTTATGAATATACGTATATATGTACATATATATATATATTATTATATATATATATATATATATATTATATATATATATATTAATATATATATATATATATTATATATATATATATATTATATAACACATAACGCACAGAACACGCACATAATATATTATATATATTATATATATATATATATATATATATATGATATATATTATATATATATATATATATATATAGTTATTATATATATATATATATATATATGCATATATAATAGATTCACAATGTGATGTAAAAGATAGGAAAGCATATTAGAATTACTAATGTTAATTGAAAGTAGAAGGATCTAATAAAATAACCTTAACAGGGATGAATCAAAGTTGGCATATGCAGTCCAGACATTCGTGGTATTGCGAAATCCAGAGTAAAGTAATCCTGGAGAAATGGCAAAGGGAAACTGACATTTTAAGCTTTATTAATCAATCGTGTAATAGTTTCTTAATTTTTCGTATTATCTCTTACTGTTCCGTTTATTATGTTTTGGAATTCAAAAAATGTTTACGGGAAATAAGCACACACATACACACGTATTGGTTTGTGATGTGAGGAGGTGATAAATGGGTGGCTGCATGTGTGTTGACATATCTATAAGAAATATCACAGATGTGCAAGGGTTTTTTTTTCGGTATTCAGCCCCGCCGGGTTTTTGTGGTAACACTCCGAAAAAAAAGAAAAATAGTTCCCCTTGCTGACCTCGGCATCACATTTGCAACAGCGCAGAGAAGAGTGTATATATCTCGAGGAGTGGAGTTCCACTCAGTTGCTTCTGAAAATATCCTGAATATGAACACAAGGTATTACGGATTTTCTCTCTCTCTCTCTTCTCTCTCCTCTTCTCTCTCTCTCTGCGTCGGTGTGCATAGCTAAGCATTACTTCATTTTATATTGTATAGTAAAGATTTTAACTTTTTACATCTGATCATATATTTTAATACCTTATTCCTATTTCAGGTTTCATCCTTTTGGTCTTGCAGCCATTGCTGCATGCAGACAGTTTTGAATCCTATGATACAGGCCCACCACAGGTTTAGCTATTCTGAAAAATAAATGTTTTTTTCAGTTGGGTGGAAAATTGATTATCTCTCTCTCTCTTATCTTCCTCTGCACTCGTCTCTGCCGGCGTCTTCTCTCTCTATCTCTCTACGTGCTCTCGTCTCTTTTCTCTGCTCGTCTCTCTCTCTCTCTCTTGAATATATCTCCTTTGCTATTATCAATTTTAAGTCTGCATTTTCGTTTATGGCTTTCATTTTGCTTGAGCAGAGACGCTCCTGCCGAGGAAGTGCTAGTACTCGAGTTGCCGGCAGGAGGCCAAGTAAGAGATCGTGACTCGTTCAAACTGGGCTGTTGCGGTAGTCCGAAGACTTACCCGGGCAACAACTACGCGACACCAGGGACAGCCGTGGGACGGCGAGACACTTCAGCGGATCCTACTACGTGCAGCTCTCCCCGACGGCGCGCGCTCGGCAGACCGTTCAAGTACTTCCAGTGGACGGCGCCTCCGGCTACGTGGCTGAGCGGTCAACTACGATGGCGAGGCTCGTGTGTCCTGCCGCGCTGCCTTCGAGTCCGTTCTTCGACGTCCGCGCGAATACAGGCCACGATACGTCTCTATGAGTGTGCAATGGTGGTCAAGTAATGCTCGCATGGTCCATCAACATGATTATCTGATTCTGACTTTTTTTTTTAATGTATTGTTAACCAGTTTTTGAATAAACTTGTCACGGACATGTCTTATTTTACTTCTCTCAATGCGATATAATATAATGAAAAACGGGTGACCCACACTACGTAAGCATCCAAGCAGTTCCAGGATGTGTTTCGTCATTTGGACAGCGGTATAGCTTGCGTTAATGTCAATGGAAAGGAATTCACATTTGCCAGTTTTACACGGAGACTTTCGCCGCCGTATTCCTACTGATGGTGATGATGTATGTAACTATATATAAGTATCAGAAATTATATATTGTTTCATTTATGTAATATATATGCCCTTGCGTATAAGGTGTTTGTCTAGCGTCGTGTATTATATATGATGATTAGTATATATATATATAGTATATAAATAGTATATAAAATATAGTATTTATATATACTATATATATGACATATATACATATCATAGTACGAGTACGATATGATGATTATGAGTAGTATTATTAATATAGTTTATATATAGTATAGTGATGTCTTGTGTGGTGTGTGTGTTGTGTCGTGTGTGTGTGTGTGTGTGTGGTGTGTGTGTGTATCTGTGTGTGCTGTCAGTGGTTATGTAGCATACAGTTTATTCCTAATATATAGAAATCGTAACATACACACACCACATGCAAATATGTTAGGGTATATGAAGGTATAATACATCTATTTTAGCATTATATATTATAATATCATATATATATATATATATACAATATTTGATACATATATAACACGCGATCTCGTAGTAGTAGGTATTCAGTACCATAAGGCCAGCAAGTGACAGTCGTTCGTCTCTGTGCTCGCCAGATCGATGTCGGACGCTGCACTCCTCCGTCTCGACCCCGTCCTGTCTGCTCTCATCTAGTAGTGGAATTCCTCTCTCTCAGGTCATCTCGTCTCACGTCTCTCTCTCTCTGCTCTCTGATACTATATATATACCTTATCATATATCTATATTATATAGGTAACTATTAATAGTATATTATGCTAGTACAGTATATATTTGTATGTAATGTATAGGTGAGTAGGCTATAGAACTTATCTTATAGAATATATATATAGCTACAGTATATGCTACATACATCTCTCTAGGTGTATACATGTATTATGTATGTTATATATATGTTTGTGTATGGTGTGTGTGTATAATATATTGTATATGAATATATATGTGCATATATATGTATGATATGTCTATTATAAATATACATATAGACAGATAATAGATGATTTTTTGTATGTGTATATAAATGTATAACATATGATACGTATATACATACCCTATGTATTTTTGTTTGTGTGTGTGTATTATGATATTTATAAGTGTGTATAATAGTATATTATATATATATATATATATATATATATATATAATAGTATATATTATATAGTATATATATATATATATACTATATATATACTATATATATATATATATATATATAATATATATATGTATTATATTATTATATAATATATATATATATATAATATATAATATATATATATATATTATATATATATATATATATAATAGTATATATGTATATATATATATATATATATATATATTATATATATATATATATATATATATATATATATGTGTGTGCGTGTGTGTGTGTGTTTATGTGTGTGTGTATCTGAGAGTGTGTATTCATCATAATGACTAGATAAATAACCAATTGCACGAGTGAATGATATGATCAAACTGAAAACCTTCGTAAAAGGTTAGGTGTCAATATGTTTATTTCTTTATATCCATTTCCTGACGTGACATGTTCACTGAACTTTCAGTTATTTAGTCATATTAGATAATAATAATAATGATACTAATAATAATCATCTTAATCTCTACTGGAATGTTCGTATGAAATAGAACGTACTTAGAGGTACTAAGCAAGTATTACTTTAGTACAATAAAATTGATCTCTAAATATCTTACGTCATTGTTCTTAGGTGTCTACTTCTACTAATAATTCAGATTTTATTTAATCAGTTTCTGAAGAAAAGAGAAATTAAAATCCACAAGCGTGCCTACATTTTCTAACGAGAATATATTTAAAAAAAAAAAAAGAAAAAAAAAAAAAAAAAAAATCCTGCTATTGAAAGTTAACAAAATTATTCAAACTACTCTATCAAAGAAAATAATGCCAAATTTACGAGAAGTACAATATGGGTCGTAATCAGAAGAAAGTGAACAACAGCTCACGCACATACGCTACAGTAGCAGTCGTGGTGTGTGTATGTATGTATGTATGTATGTTATATATATATATATATATATATATATATATTATATATATATATATATATATAATATATATATATATAATATATATATATAATTATATTATATATATATATATATAGTATATATATTATATATATATATATATATATATATATATTCTCTCTCTCTCTCTCTCTCTCTTCTCTCTCTCTATATATATATACTATATATATATATATATATATATAT